TTTGTGTACAACACATTGGGCAGGTTGAATGTAGCTATGGCTGATGTGGAAGGAAGCAAAGGGAGAACTCTCCTCTGGTGGTACTGATGAAGGTTGTTAGCAGGGTGGTGATGAAATCATGGGTGATTGTTGTTTGTTGTTTTTTTTGTTGAATATTTAACGGTCATAACATTCAACTTTCAGCGGTAACATATTTGTTGGTGGTGAAAAAACTCAAATGCAGTGGCCAGGATTTGTTGGGACGATCTTACAGTGAGGTTGGGTGGGTCAAAAAGTGAGGGTTGTAATTATGACAATCTTCCTATTGTTATTCGAAAGTTGTTGAGCCAATCCATTAAAAAGAAGTGGAAAGTGAATGTTTGGAAGTTGAACATTCACCCAAGTAAATCCAGTAAATCCATTTCCATTTGAATTCATTGAGAAATGATTAATAGACGCATTATTGAATTGTTGTAAATGTGGTTGAACAATTAGGGATTGATTTTGGGGATGTCGCACCACTTGACCATTATTAATCGGTACATGATTCATCACTCTTTCATTTTGATTATTATTTCTTATAGGATTTATGTTTGCTTGCTGATTATTTCTAATAACATTTTCATTCTGTTGTGGTTGATAGATAGTTTGATTTCTTGGTGGAGTATTATTCTGTTGTGTCTGTCGTGGTGGAGTTACATTCATCCTATTTCGTGGTGGACTATTAGTCTGTATCTGTCGTGTCTGTTGTGTCTGTTGTGGTGCTTGTGGACCTATTGGTGGTTGTGGTTGACCATTCACTTGAGCCTCCTCATTTTCAGAGCCATTCTCTTGTCCATTTTCAACTCCAAATCTTTCCTGCAACTCCCTTGCTTTTCTATTAATTTTCAAATAGAAATTCTCCATCAAGTATGGAACATAATGTTGCCTGCAATGTTTCCAACTTTTTTCCTGAATATTTTCAATGAACTTCAACACCAAATTATCAATGAATGGAATGAGCTGGTTCTCGGTAATTAAACGAGGAAGAGAAGGTTCTGAGAAAACTCTACGATTCTCCTCAGCAATGAAACATTTTACAATGTGAATTTTCTGGTATAGAGTAATGTGATGGTCGCAGTGGATATCGTTATAGTGACAGGATGGACATCGGCTAGAGGAGAGATGAGGTA